TTATATTTAGAAACCAATGAATTCTTCAATTAATCTCTCTTTATTGTTTATTCAAACTTTTTTAATAATTTAAGAGAATATTCAATAGTTCTTAATCTATTGAAATTATTATCAATAAATGATTATAATTGCATATCTAAATGAGATATTTCAACATTGAATTCGACCCAATCTCTATCAAATTTGTTGCTATTTGTGTCCAACAAATCATGATTTTTTGCTTTGAAATCTTTAATAATTTAATTAAATTTAGCTGTAAGTTATTCCATACCTTCTAAGTTATGTTTTGCAAGAGCCTAGAATTATTAAATGTTCTAAAATATGTCAATCAATTTAACTAATCTTCTGACAAAAGTATCAAATTTACCAAATATTTAGGTTTCTGGGAAATCAAATGTTTTTCCTTTTGGCATATCAGCAACTTTTTCTTTTGTTTCTTTATAACTATCTTTGTATTCTCTATTGAGTTAAATACATTATCTCAAGACTTCATTTAATTCAGATGGATCTCTATTCCAAATATCTTGGTTCTTTCCTCCATTTAAGATTCTCTCTTTACAATTCTTAATCATTTGATTAGTAATTTTAACAAATAAACCAGTCATTTTATCATTTGTATTATAAAAACGAGCAATTGTATGAATCATCTTAATTGCATTCATTAATGCTGGTAATGTATCAATAATTTATTAAGGAGTTCCTTTATATAATGGATCTAAGAACTTTTCTAAGGTTGATAAGTATTTCACATTGTCTTTGGCTTCATTTAATTTATCAGTAAGTAAAAGATCAAGTCTACTATACTCCATAATAAGTTTATTAATATTTTCTTCTCCTCTATTAGTTGATTTATCATGTTATTTATTTCTTTGTAATGTGGTTTTGACAGTAACAAAATCTTTGCCTTTTAATTATTCAGACCAATTTGTAATTTCTTACATTCTGGTTTTCCAATAATTTAATTCAACTTCTGGACCAGCATCTGGACTATCTTTTTTTGGATTTTAATCTTCTGCTAATTTATTATTGATAATAGCAATCCATTAAGCAAATTTTCTTTCATAAAATTAATTTCTTTCTTATTCATTATTTGAATTCACATATTTTTATACATCTTCTGGATCAAATTTGAATAACTCTTACCCTGGTCTCATTAATTTGACTGCTTCTGAAACTTCCTAAGAAAATTTCTTAGTGTGATTATGGAATTCNATTATTATCAATAAATGATTATAATTGCATATCTAAATGAGATATTTCAACATTGAATTCGACCCAATCTCTATCAAATTTGTTGCTATTTGTGTCCAACAAATCATGATTTTTTGCTTTGAAATCTTTAATAATTTAATTAAATTTAGCTGTAAGTTATTCCATACCTTCTAAGTTATGTTTTGCAAGAGCCTAGAATTATTAAATGTTCTAAAATATGTCAATCAATTTAACTAATCTTCTGACAAAAGTATCAAATTTACCAAATATTTAGGTTTCTGGGAAATCAAATGTTTTTCCTTTTGGCATATCAGCAACTTTTTCTTTTGTTTCTTTATAACTATCTTTGTATTCTCTATTGAGTTAAATACATTATCTCAAGACTTCATTTAATTCAGATGGATCTCTATTCCAAATATCTTGGTTCTTTCCTCCATTTAAGATTCTCTCTTTACAATTCTTAATCATTTGATTAGTAATTTTAACAAATAAACCAGTCATTTTATCATTTGTATTATAAAAACGAGCAATTGTATGAATCATCTTAATTGCATTCATTAATGCTGGTAATGTATCAATAATTTATTAAGGAGTTCCTTTATATAATGGATCTAAGAACTTTTCTAAGGTTGATAAGTATTTCACATTGTCTTTGGCTTCATTTAATTTATCAGTAAGTAAAAGATCAAGTCTACTATACTCCATAATAAGTTTATTAATATTTTCTTCTCCTCTATTAGTTGATTTATCATGTTATTTATTTCTTTGTAATGTGGTTTTGACAGTAACAAAATCTTTGCCTTTTAATTATTCAGACCAATTTGTAATTTCTTACATTCTGGTTTTCCAATAATTTAATTCAACTTCTGGACCAGCATCTGGACTATCTTTTTTTGGATTTTAATCTTCTGCTAATTTATTATTGATAATAGCAATCCATTAAGCAAATTTTCTTTCATAAAATTAATTTCTTTCTTATTCATTATTTGAATTCACATATTTTTATACATCTTCTGAATCAAATTTGAATAACTCTTACCCTGGTCTCATTAATTTGACTGCTTCTGAAACTTCCTAAGAAAATTTCTTAGTGTGATTATGGAATTCTTTTAATGATTCTTCATCACATTATCCCCATTCCCGCTCATCCATCATATTTATTATTAATGGGTAATACACATTTTCCATCACTGTATGCAATTAAGAAATTGATTAAGGTGATACTTCTCCCCAAATCACTTAATTATCGTATGTCTCATTAAGATTTACAGATGTCTTGCCCTCTGGAGTCCTAAATAAAATTAATAAAGATTTAATTTTTAAATATATGGAAGATCATATATATATGAATAGATATTTGTACTTACATTCTTAAAAACCACATAGCTTTCTCTTTGATTTTCTCTTGATCTCCATATTGAATAAAAAGCGATGGCTCATTTTGATTTTCCTTGATCTCATCATTTTATTAGTTATCTTATATCTAGTAGTATATAATTATCTTTGCAGGACCTTCTCCTTCTAAGAATTTCTCAAGTCGAGACTTATCTTTTAAGAGATCCTAACAAATAACACTTTAAAACTCACCTACACAACATTTGCATCCTTCAAACGAAATGAATCAGCTATTGTTTGAAACATCCAACGTGCTCTCTTACTATTCAACATGTAACTGATATTGAAAAGTAATTAAATAAAATATTAAAAATCAAATCCTCAATTACATCAGGTTTTAAAATGAAAATGATAACCGGGGGACTTAATATATTTTTTATATATATTATTATTATATGCATATTAAACATTTCCTCTTAGTAGGTATGTCTCTTCTAACATTATTACAAAGTAACATATAATTAAAATAAGATAATCGTTAAATTTATTTACATCTCTATTTTCTTTTACTCTCTCATTACTTTCCTATCATAATAGAACTATATTAATTATCTACTTAAATAAATCATGACTATTTATCATTTTATTTAGTGCTTTCAATTAAAATAAAATTAAGTAATAATCTTCAAACTACTTTCAGCATTTCCTTATGAAATTATTAGCTGCAACCAATTTTCACCATATAATTACTCATAAAAAGTAAGTTATTCTTGTTAATTTAGATGAATTAATAAACTAAACTAGATAATCGAATTTTATTTTGATGAAGAATTTTCACACCTAATCTAAAAAAAGACAGAATCATATCCAAATATATTGAAAACAAGCATTAATTACAAAGACTCAAATTCAAATCATCTTTTTCTTAATTGAAATCTTATCAAATTTTGAATGACTTGTAAAATTAATTGTTTTAATTATAATTCACATTTTAAAAATAATTACATCTTGTTTAAAGACAATATTCTCCATGAATAAAAAAAACTAAATTTACATTTTAGACAAAAATTTCATAGTATTTTAAATCAATGGGTATGTTCATTTAAAGTTACCACTCTTATATTATACAATTCAAATTAAAATAGAAAATAAAGAGATTGATTAATTTGAAAATTTAAAATATTTCTATAAAAAACATAAGTTTTTAAATAAATTAATCAATGAAATCAAATTTTTTTTTTAACTTCAAATATATTATTAGGTAACAAAGTTGAATGATTAAAAATTGAGTCTTATTAATTTTTTATTTCTGAATTCTACTTTGATAGAAAATTTAATGTATCAAACATCTTATCTATGTTTCCAGTTTATTTCATCATCCATGATTAATATCTTTCCCTACTTGGAGTCTTACTTTTAGTTTAATTGTAGTATTTTTTGTGTTATTAAGAGAAATAGCTAGATGTTTCAAGAACTTAAAATTAAGCCTCTTTGACTTTTGAAGGAATGCACTTACTCAAAATATAATTACCTGAAGGTTATTAACTAAATATATCCAAAATTTTGTCCCAATGATTTTTTTCTAAAATTTCAAGATTATTCTTTAAGCATTTTATTCTTTCAGCCTTTTCCTAGCTATCAGCATATAATTTTTAATGAACAACTGGAATTTCAGAATTGTTATTCTAAGAGTTACCTCTAACTCTAAATGATCTACTATTTCTTGTTGATTATATTAAATTTGATTAATTTTAATCATCCTTTCTTTTCTGTTATAAACTAGTGAAACAGTTTTATCTTATTTAATTTAATTTTTTATTTTATGAATTTTATTTTTATGCTTTTGCTTAATTTTTAATTTGACATTTAGTTTAATCATGTTCAACTAATTCATTCACTTCTAAAAGTTAAATAACCTGTTCTTATTAATAATCTTAATACTCTTAAAATTTTTTTGTTTTTTTTTCAGGAGATAACTGATTTTGAGGCATTTCCTTTTTATAATCAAAGTTTTATAATACTTTTAATGGTGATAATTTAGTTGATTATTCTTCAAATAGTTTTTATTTTTATTTACTATCATCTTAACTATCAGAAACCTAATTTACAATTAATTTAGGCTTGTTTTATTTATTATATTTTATAAAAGACTCATCAAATTATTATTATTAAGTGATTTCTTCTATTTAACTATTATGCGATTTTTATATTGCGGAAGGCTTTTTCTTTAATTCTTCAAATGATTCAAGTGTTTTTATTGATTGGGTTTATTAGACAATTTCTACGTCTGTTTATGTAGCTTAATTTATTTTAAATTTCTATGTAAGAGTTTGCTTTTAATAGATTAAATATCATACATAAGAATCTAAATTAAATGATCCTTGTTATCTTATTTCTTCAATAGACCTTAATGATTTGATATTTAATTATTTAATTGAATTCATAATACTTTTAACCACATCCTTTGATTTATCATCTAAATTAATATCTTAAGGTTTTAACTAAATATTTTTCAATATTTACATTAGCTAATCTTGAATCAATTAATCTTAAAATTTTTTAGGAAAATGAATAAAGTAATTTATATTAAACTTCTTTCTGTTGCAACAATTCCTATAATTCTTCATTTTATTATTTGAGATTATCAATAGAATCTAAAATGATATTATTTAAATTACATTTGTAGTGAATTAAATCTTTATTTTACTTTTCTAAATCAAACTCCATTAGAGAATATTTAGCAATTAGATTGGTATTTGTTTTTTTTTCTACCAATAACTATTAAGTTATTTCTTCATATTTTTTTTGTTAACTAATTAATTTATCATCAAAATATTAATTTTCTTTTAAAATTTTAATTATGTCATCATTTTTATGAATTTTACTAATGGCTACCCACAATTTAAAAGCAAACTTAATTTTTATTTTATCAATTTAAGCAGTTTATTGAGCAATTGTTTACAATTCTTAATTTTTGTAATCATTTAGAACTTCTAATTCTAATTTAATCTTTTCATCATAATAATTACTAGCTAACTAAAGATATTTTTATTATTGAAGTTCTCGTTAATTTTCAATTTCTAATTTCTCTTTTTCTAATCTAACATACTTTTTCTTAATTTCTTCTATTTCTTCCTATGCTTTTTAAAAAAATACTAATTATTCTTATAAAATTTATTCTTTATAAGTTTAATACTCTCTCTCAAATGCTTTGTTTGTCATTAGTAATTTATTAAGTTCCTGATAATTAATACCATAAACAGCTTTTTATTACTCAAATACTTCTTTGAAAAAATTATTTCCTTTTTAATCTGCAATGTATTTCCAAATTCTGTATGGATTACTATCTATTAAGAAGATTCTTTTAAAAAGTTCAGATGGGTTATCAACATTGTTTAATTGTTAATTCAATCTTTAAACTTGAATTTTATAATTTTTGATTTCATCTCTTTAAGCCTATCTAAAAATGAATATTAATTTTACATTAATTTGATATAATCGATGATTCTATTATTAAATTAAAATTTAAGATCAGTTATGTGAGCAGTGAATAAATTTTAAATGTTTGGATCAAGAACTTCAGTAAAATCGAAAAAAGAAACTTCAAAAGGATCATCTGGACTAATTAAAGCAAAGTCTCTTCGAAATAATTATTCTCTTAAAGATTATAATTCTTTTAAATAACCTTGTGTAGTTTAAACAAGATTTTATTCTCTTTGGAATAGTCTAGTTTATAAAGATTAAATTAATAGATCCTTCAATTGCATCTCTTTTCTAGTATGACAAAATTCATTTTCATTTTCAGAAGGTCTCTAGATATAGAAATTCTTCATTTACATCTTTTCCAATATTTTTATTTTTGGATTATAAACTATAATTTTCTGTGTCTAATCCATCCCAAAATCCTTCTTCTATTTCATCAGTTTCTTTTTATTTTTTTAACAAATTTAATTTGTTCCATAACCTTTTTAATCCATTATCTTTCTATTCCTTAAGGTAATTTCTAATTTGTTCTGTATAAATAATTGCAATATATTTATAATTGAGATCATCATTAAAGTTAAAATGTGTCTCTTAATCAAAAATAAAGTTTAAACTTTGCATCATAAATCTAAAATGTTAATCTTCATATCTGGTGAAATATTTCTATGAATGAATTCCAATATTTTACAAAATAAAAAGTATTAACAAGAGTTTCCTCTTCTTCAACTGACAACAATTCTTTAACCATTTCTTTGATAATATTTCTCAGAGATAATTTGAGAAAATTGGCAATAGATTCAAATTGTTTAATGGCTGTTTTGATTCTATTTCTAAAATCTTCTCCTTAATCTCTGATTAGCTATTATTCATAAACAGTTGGTTAATTAGTCATAGAATTTTAATTAATGGATATTTTACGTTGGGGATTGTATGGAAATATCTACACAGACACTTATGAACATTTTTCAGATGGAGGACCAAAATGTTATTAGGATATGAGTAATACTTTTCGTATTTTGATATCAACAATATCTGCAATAACATGCATTCTTGTGATGAGTAAGAATTTGATCACATTAAGAAAAATGTTGGACTAAAATAAAAGTTTCATAAGAGTTGACAAGAGGTTTGGGAAAGAATCCTAATATTTTTGAATATTTAATTGGATTAGCATGTTGGGGAACATTTGCTGTTCAAACTGGATATAAATTATATACAGGAAGGGGTATATGTGAGAATAAGACAAATACTTAGGTGTTTTTATGAATAATCCATGTCATATAGTATTATTAATGTAGGGATATGTTTTATTGACAAAAAAACATAAATTTAGTGCTGTCATTTTTATTTGTTAATTAAGGTGGCTATATGGAGTATTTGCAGTATAGAATTATTTAGTAAATAAAAGGCACTTAAATTCCCAGTTACAACAGGAATGGAATTGCCACTTGAAGTAGAATTCTTTTGGATAGAACATCTTCTTGGGGCTTTTGCAGGTCCTTTGGCACTAACATTAAATGGAAGATTTTTCTTTTTTGAATGGAAAACTTTTTTAATTCATTAAATGTTTGGATGGGACTCTCATGTCCTTTATTAAAGAGTAAATAGTGAATAAGAGTATAGATTTACATGTTACCAATTTCATTAATGACTTGGGCTAATTTAAATTTTATGCTTTGTAGACCAGATCATGATCCATTTGTTCCATATATAGGAAATTGGTATTATGTTTTTTCAGAGATCTATTTAAATTTGATTAGTATATTTGCATTTATGATTGTGTTTATATTAACTTGGATCTTAAGGAAAATAACAAGATATAAAGAAAAATAAGATTGAATCATAAATTATACATAATAAATATAATTAATCATTATCATAAACTACATCTTTGAGAGTCTATTCTTCTATAAAATAATACATATGCAGCTTCGCTTTCTACATCTGCTGATGTGATTCTTGCATTTGAATCATTATAATCAACCCATTTGTTTATTAAGGAGTTATAAGCACAGGCTGTATAATGTCCTCCTCCCAAACCACCAAAATGATTATCTACACCATATAATTCATAATGATAGTCTATAGAATCATTATCATTTACTTTAGAAAGAACAAAAGAGTTCAAATTTAGATTTTTCGGAAAATAGACCATCGTTGTTATTTTTTAGGATCCTCCAGCAAAAAAAAAACTACCATAGTTGCTTATTCTATCATTCCCAGATCTAAATCTCTTTAGATGAATTATCAATAATTATGGAGCTTTATATATTTCCATCTATTTTGTAGCCTTAACATGTTGCTTACATTTGTTACAGTACCATTCGTTACCTTTTCCTAAGATTTCTTCTTTAGCAAAAGATCTTAAACAATCTTCTAATGTATATTCTCCTTTTCTTAATTATCGATTTTATTCTATATTAAAATCTTTACATCTTTAAAATTTCAGATTCTATATTTCCTTTTTGCCAAATAAAGGATTCAATATCACATTAATTGAAAAAGTTTTTGTATTAAAAATTTCAATTGGATCTTGGTTCATAAAATCCATCGGTTTCCCCCTATACATTAATTAAAATGGTTAAACTTTGAATTATTTGATTTCAAAGAGGAATTCCTCTAAAGTTTCAGGCACATGCTAACAATATTCTTCAATTTAAACTTTATCATTTAAAAGTTAATCTGCCAGATCTTAAATAATAAATATCAAATTGTGTTTAAATTGCTGATATATTCTAAAATAAATATCAATTATTTTATCGTTCTTTTGAAGTACAAATTATCTTGGAAAAGTGAAGATTTATTCATTATAATTAGATCTTTCTGTTTTATTACAATAATAAAAATCAATATGAATTTAATCATCTAATAATTGATAATATTCTCTTTCAATTTAATATACAAATAACTACCCTTCATGCTCTTAAATCCATTTTACATTTTATTTTTTCTTAATCCTTTCTTTTATCAAATGATCTTTTAATAAAACAAAATTCATTTGATCTTATGATATATTTAAAGCTTAAGATAATTCCTATCCAATATAATTTGCATCTTAATCACTTGTTAGATTAAGTTGAAATTTTAAAGGGATTTTTCCATCTTGATAAATAAAATATAGATTTAATTAAATTAAACTATATGATGGTATTGGAAGAGACAGACTCATAAATGGATCAAATGTTTTTGAAATTCTGCGACAATTTGGACAAACCAGAGTTGATTTATATTGACCAACCATTAATTATTATATCTTACTCTAATTTCTAAGAATATAATTATTCCAGAAAATTCGAGATGCTTCAAAATCAGATTGATCTGTAATTTCAACTTCCTTAACAAAAGGCTTGTTGATAACTTTATTTAGATCTTCATGTAAACCATCTAATAAATATGATAAGAATTCATGTGAATCTTATTAACCATAACCATAAAATTGTGGAGCAAACTTACCTATCACTCTTTTTAAATCATAAGCACTGACAGATGAATTATTACCATACCACATTATTTTCATCAATTCAGCATAAGCAGTTGCCAAAGCTCCTTTTGTTCCTAAAGGATTATCACAATTTAAATATTAATAGAATTCATTACTTACCATATATTCAGTTAATTCATATGTATTACTTAAACATTATAGTGCTGCATTCATAAAACAAGTATTTCCTAAATTTTATAATCCTGTAACACCTTTACGAGAATCATTCATAATTCTTGGAATATCAGATACATTCATTTTTCTCTTAATAGAGGACATCTACTTTTTATCAATTTCACTTATTTACCAATTTTTACCATATTTAATTTCACAAATAAATAAATCTGAACTTGTAAAATTAATTTCATCAATCATTGTTGTTTTCTCTAATATTTTGGCAGATACTAATTTATAAAGCTCTCTATTTTATAATTTTTTAATAAAATCTTCTTAACTTTAGATATCATTAAACTTCCACCATCTCACTTCATTATTTAATTTCAATATTCTGCTTACTTTCTTACTCAAATCAAAAACCAAATCACTACTATTTGCAGTTATTAATCTTAGTCTATGTTTTTCTTCATTTGGTAAAATTATAAATTAGATCATTCTTGGTACCAACTATTTAAATATTTTACTAAATTAATTACATCCACGTATTTTTAATGAGTTTAACTATGTTCGACAATCAATCTCTTAATTTCAAATCCACCATATATATTTTTAAAATATTCAAATATTTTATGTCCCACTATTATAAAGTCAACTCCTTCTCTTAAATTTTCTTTTAAAATATAATTGGTATATTATTTTGGACTAAAAGGATCTAATTCCAAGGTTAATTAAATTTAAATTAAAGAAAATCCATTAATTGGACCTAGAGCAGTAATTTATTCTTCAATATCAAGATCACTTGAAATTTTAAAGAGATTCTCTAAAACTTCTATTTCTTTCTCAATATTCAAGCTTTCATTTGTTGGTTCAATTGGTCTATCATTTACATAACTTTTCCATTTATTAAACCATCTTGTTGGTATTAAATAAGCAGGCATACCATCCTTTTCAAAATATTTAGTTTTTATCTCTATTTCCAATAATTCCTCATATGTTTAAAGCTTCAATAAACAATTCATTTACTTATTCTTTCAAATCAACTTTTTTTTCTTTATATGCTAGCATATTATCTAAATTTTCAATCAAATACATGATAGCCTCATTAAATTTAATTTCTTGCGCATATTTTTTTAATTTCTTTGACCAATTTTATGCTTGTTAAATTTTATTTTAATCGATATATAGATTTATTAAATCGAACACTAGATTGAAATATCTATCGTCATCTATTTCTTCTTCATTTTCCTCTTATTTAACAAGTTCTAAGATTTTGATTTGCAAATTCTTATATCTTTAGCTTTAACTTAAAATATGTTGAATCAAATAAATTGTTTCCAATTAAGGATTGTTTATCTCTTTTTTTAATATTTAAGTTAATAATCTTAAGGCTTCTGCATACATTTATCGTTCAATTAGTGTATAACATTTCTCCATTAGAAATATTTAATAAAATTACAAAATAACAATAGTCTTAAATCAAAGTTAGCAATTATATTTATTTAATTTATTTTGACAGCTTTGCTTTATGAAAGCATAATTTGCTAAATATCTTTAATAGTATTTTCTTTTGAAAAATCAGCAGTGAGGAATTGATTATGTATTTAGCTTGAGGATCAGAAAATAATCAATAAAAAATAGGATAAATCCTGAACTTAAAAAACAAATAATAGAGAATCTTTATGATCATCCTTCAAAAAAAAGAAATAAAGAGAATTGGAACTGATTAATAAAAATAATTATATGCATTCTTTATCAATTTTTAATGGCAGATTTATTGCTTAAAAGAAGCTATCTTCAGGTAGTTTTGGTGTAGTTTTATTGGGTAGAGACAAGGAGAATAACATTGATGTTGCTATTAAAATAGAAAAAGAAGAAAATCAAGAAGTTAAATCTTTAGAAAGAGAAGTTTAAGTATTATAAAGGTTATCAAATACAGAAGGTGTTCCAAATCTATATTGGTATGGTGAATAGGATGACTATAATATCATAATAATGTAGCTATTAGGAAAGGATCTTGCTTTTTATATGAAATAGAAAAGGAGATTTTCAATAAAAACAGCCATTTAATTAGGAATATAAATTGTAAAAGTCTTGGAAAGAATTCATGAAAAAGGTGTTGTACATAGAGATCTGAAGCCTGAAAATATTTTATTTGGTTAGGAGAATGAATCTTCTAAAATATTTATTGTAGATTTTGGAATCAGTAAAATATTTTAGGATAAAAATGGGAGAATCATGTATTCTTATGTTAAAATTTAGACCTTTTCGAGATGGAACTTCTTTTATCGGAACCACTAGATATGCATCAATAGCTGCTCACAAAGGATTCGAATTAAGTAGAAAGGATGATCTTGAGTCTTTAATGTATGTTCTATTGTACTTTATTAAGGGGTAGAAATCTTATAAATATATAAAGTCTAGGCAGCTACCTTGGCAAAATATGCAGAATGTTACAGATGAAGAGAGAACAACTAAAGTTGGAGAAATGAAAATGACAATTGATCCTAGAGAGTTATGTAAGGATGTACCTATTGAATTTCCAATTATCCTTGAGTATTTAATCAGTTTATTTGAGATATTTAAAGACTTTACAGTATAGAAGTGAACCAGATTATAATTACATCTATAAACTATTTCAAAAGTCAGCTGATGGCTTAGGAATTGTATTAGACTATATTTATGAATGGGAAATATAATCTCAAAGAAAAATCTCTTCTAATGAAATGGTAAAATCTTAAGAAATGAAAAGATCTACAACTCTTAATCAAGCTTTATTACCACCTAATTAGTAAGAGATGAAGAAATCTCTTGAAAAAGGTAATACTAATCTAATGAGATAATCTAGTAATAATAATTTCTTAACTCCTCCTTAAAAAAATTAATTATAACCTCCTCTTTTAAGAAGATCAGATTCTCAATAACCTAGTGTTTCTTCCAATTAAGGTAGTGCTATGCTTAGCACTTATAATTCTAGAAAACCAAAATATGAAAAATCTTTAGTGGCTTTCGATTAATTTGAAGATGTTAGAAAAAGCATGGATAGTATATAATTAGAAAACGGAAATTTAGATCAATTATAAACTGATGAATAAAAGTTTAACAAAGTGCACAACTCAAGTCTCTAAAAACCTTAAATATCTAATAATTAACAATCACTTTATTATTCTGAAACTGTGGGCTGGAAAGATTCTATTTTTGAAGAAAATTACTTAGATGATCCTCTCTCCAAAAAATATGGATTACTTAAAAATAATGGAGTTGATATGTATTTATTAAATTTTTATATATTTTAGAGGCAAAAAACTATCATTAAAAAATAATAAAATCAAATAATCAAAAAAGAAGAATTGAAATCTATTTATATAAAGTATTAAATTAATAATTTTATCTATTTTTGTATTAGTAATATAGGGAGGAACCAAATATAATTATAAATTGAAATTATTAATAAGAAGAATAATATAGAATTCTTAAAGATAAAATTAATTATACTTGGTTAAATTATTAATATTCTAAAAATCCAGAAAAACATTTACTGAAAGCGTGAAATTGCATTCAATCATACTTTAATAATATTATGAACCAATTATTCTTTATAATTATATTTTAAATTTTATCATAATTGTTTTTCATCAGGTTCCTAAAATTGTTTATATTGCTCATTTAAGATTCTCATTAGATTAATAATGCTCTAGTTTTATATCTCTTAATTTTCTTGAGGTAAACAAAGATTATACTTTCCCAAGTATTAAGCAATTTATTAGTAATGAGCTTCTTCAAGACTGCTATAACTTAAAATTTTTTACTTTAATTTAGCATTCAGAAAATTTGTCTTTAGATCATTACATTCGGACCTGTGCTTTAATTTTTCTATATTACCTGTTTGTTTATTGACAATTAATATGTAAGTTTCTAATTCTTAATATATTCGTTTATCTCTTGTTCTTTTTTTTCCTATTCTCCCTTCGCTCTGGTATACCTATACTATTGCTTTAGCTGTAGAATACTTAATCCCTAATGTTTATGCAATCTAATGTAAAATTTTATATATAAAACTTATCTTAGAGGTTGCCCTTTGACACAAGCTTAGTCTATTATTTATTATCGTAAATTTGCATTCACCTTTTAATATTGTTATGGTCTATTGCTTTTCCTACTAATTTTTATGTTTAAATTATTTACTTAAAACTCCTACTATAATTTTATGGATCTAAGATTTCTTCGCTTTCGCTTCCTTTATTCATTTCGAATTAATAATTATTAATAAAATATTTGATGAAAAATTAATTTGAATTTGAGATGGAATATCATAAATCAAAGTATCATTTTGATATTAGTAATTATATCATTATTTTTTGATTTCTTATTTTAAATTTTGCATTAATTATTTCAATCTATTACTTATTTTATTCTAAGACTTCATATAATTATTCATGCTTTCTTTTGTTAATTTGATCCTTTTCAATTATCATTACCAAAAGGGTTTTAAAAAATCATTTGCTTTTTTATAATAGAAAATATTATTTAAAAAAGCAATTCTAACAAACATAATTTAAACATTATTTTTTTCATCTTGAAAATTCGCTAATTTTAAATTGATATCAATTTGACAATTTTAATAACTAATAAATATATTTGCTTAAAGATTACAACATAATCTTAGAATTTTATTGATCTTTTTTGTATTTTTCACAAATTTGGATCATAATTAACTTTTCCTCTCTTAATTTTGATTTGTCTTAGTTATTTTACTTTTTATCTTTAGTTTAATATTTGTTATTATTAAATTGTTCGAGATAATAAATTTTAATTTAAATAAACATGAAACTTAACAATGACTTCTATATTTTTTTCTTATTTACAAATAAAAAAGCTAAGTTTAGAATTGAAATCAAGTGAGCAGAAACATTTGAGACAAAAAAATCTTATTTCAATATTTTTTATATTGTTTATACACTACTTTATAAAAATTAAATATTTTTTTAATAAATATAATCCTAGATAAATGATAAATATTGCTTAGAATTAAAAAAATTATTTTAATCATTTAATTAAACAAAAAACATAGTCTAAGGTATAATTGAGGGTAGCATTGAAAAATTTGATTAGCAGTAAAAATGTATAAAATAAAATATAATATAATGTTAAAATATATATTATAAAATTATTTATGACTTAATATTTTATACTTATACTTTTTACTTTGATTGTGAAATAATTTAAAAATCAATATATTTTTTTTAATATCTCATTTTGTTAAAATATATAAATATACTTAAATAAAATTTGTTAATAAAATGAATCCAAATACACCTTTCAACGAAAGATTTGCTAAAATCTCTGAAAAACTTAATTCTATCTAATTATAACATGATTCTTCTAAGGCACATAGAATAGATAACATTTGTGGAAGAATAACAGGAGTAGAAGAGAGAATGTAAGACACTATCACTTCTTACAATAGAAAACTTGTATAAATTTGATACTAAAAATATATAGCACGCATTAAAGGATGAAATAGTTCGTCTTTAGAAGCAAATAGAGGAAGAAAACAATGCCTTTGAAACCTAATTTGAATAAAGAGTGAGAGAGATTGCAGCTTTTGAAAGTAGAATAACAACTAAACTTGAATAAGAAATAGCTTTAAGAAAAGATGGAAATCTTAAATTACAAGGCTACTTAGATGAAAAGGTAGAGAAATAATTAATTATTAGGTTGTATATTTGAAATCAGATATATAAACTGAGGGAAAGATTAGATCAGAATAAACAGAAAATATTACAACCTCATTAGAAAATGATTTACCAAAATTATATGAGATGGTTAAAGCAGAAGGATAGGATAGAGAAGATAATGATAATGGCACATTGAGAAGAGCAGGAGATGAAATAAAACGATTGAATGAAGGTCTAGGAAATTAGAAGAAATTAAGGTACTGATACAATTAATATTAAAAGAGAGGAATCGGAAGCAGCAATATTTGAAATGCTTAAAGACTTGGTTTCTAGAGTAAAGAGTGAAATAGAAGAAGAAAAAAAATTAAGAGAAGAATCTTAAGAATCACTTTTAGGATTGCTAGAAGATGCTTGCAATAAAATTTATAGGGCAGCTAAAGATTGAATAGATATAAACATTAAAATTCAATAATTAATACATAAAGTGTTTTTAAAATATTTATGTAGTTTTAACTCTGACATCCTGTCATAATTTATTAATAGTTTGATTTCTAAATTCAAATTAATATAATCTAATTTTATTTATCATTAATGGAGATGATACAAGAAGGAATAGATTAATATTTCTGTGAATTTCTATTATTGTTTAATTAAAAGTAATATCTCTAAATAGTTTTTTAAATGGAGAAAGAGGTTACTATTTAAATATTAATTAAAAAAAATAGAGTAATTTTTCTATTTGATATGAAAGAATATTTTATAAATTAAATTGAATTAGAATTATAGAGTATAGGTTTTAAAGATTGTTTAAGTGGATTTTCATGTAAATTTTTGTAAATTAATTTATTTTAATTAATTTCAGCTGACATTTAATGAAAGCATCTTAAAGAATTTCAACTAGTCGTTCACATTAATAAACTAGATCGTTTGTACTAAATACATTGTAAAACTGGTTATTAATAAACTTTCTTTTAGGGATAAGTAAGAGGAGTCAATAGTGATGAAGAAATCACCTTCTGAGAATAAGTTAGTCCAAACTTAAAAAGCATATATTATGATATAACCAAAACTTGTTGAGATATTTGATGAGAATAAGACTAAAAAAACATAATTACGCTTTGAGAATTCTATTTCTCAGTTGAAAACAGTCGATACAATATAAGGAAAGGGATAAGACAATAAAGAGACTCCACTAACCAGTGAAACAAAATCAAAAAGAAAAGAATCAATGAAGTAAGTTTGTTTAATTAACTTTTTAGATAATCCTTGAGGATTATAACTTAACTTTGAAGAATGGTTTTTATATTGAATAATTCTCATTTGAGACATTTCATATATTTTTTAAATATCATATATTTATTTTTTAAATTTTCTAAAAATGAAGCATAATTAACAACTCCCAAATGCCCATTTAAGAAAGCACTGGACACGATTTGTAAAGACCTTCTATAATCAACCAGCAGCTAAGAGAAGAAGATAATAAAGAAGATAAGCAAATGCATTAAGTACCTAACATTAAATAATTAAATAGGAGCATCTCCAAGACCAGTTGAATTATTAAGACCAGTTGTAAGAGGTTAAACAATTAAATACAATGGAGTATAAAAATTGGGAAGAGGATTCTCATTAATTGAATTGAAAGAAGCAGGACTTAATGCATAATTTGCAAGAACAATAGGAATAGCAGTTGATCATAGAAGAAGAAATAACAGTTAAGAAGAATTGGCAGTTAATGTTAAAAGAATTAAGGCATATTTATCAAAATTAGTATTATTCCCAAGAGTTGCTGGTAAACCAAAGAATGGAGTTGTAAAAGACTCAGCAAATGATGTTGTTGCTCAACCAGTAACATAGAATACAAATCCAGAAGTAGATATTAATATAATATTATATAGGTTATCACTTTCTAAAGAACACCAAGAAGAGAAAAGGCTACTGTAATTTCTAAAGAATTAAGATCTAAAAATATTTACAGAAGATTAAGATAAGAATGGTACAATGCTAAATTTGTGGGAGTTAAAGAGAAAAGAAAATAAGCAAAGGAAACAAAGAAATGAGTGGAGATAATAAAGTGTACATTTACAATAAAATATTTAATCTAATTAAAACATATGTCTACATCAAAATGATTTATCCCAATTTGGATCCTTTGCTAATTCTTTTCTATATTTAATTTTTTATTGTTATTATTCAGCCTTAATTTCTGAGACTACTAATTTTCCTTATTAAAATTTCTTGTCAATTTCAAAATCTCCAATTAATCTTTCCTTAGGAGGAATAAACTAAAGTTAATATACATATATAAAATACAGGTGGTTATAATTAATGACTGAATAATTTATCCCAATCAAAATCATCAAACCAAGCATGAGCTTTTAGACCAGCATATGAGGTACCTAATCTAGCTTCAGGTTATTTAGAGAGTAATTGTTCAATATACCTTTTAGCTGATCGATCTCTGAAGAAGTGAGGGAATTTTAATTGATTATTCATTATTTCCTCGTATATATCATAAGGATCCTACTCTATAATATTAAAATTACTTCAACATCTTCAGCATAAGGTACTCCTCCACATAGAAATTCATAACAACATATACCTACACTCCATAAATCAACATGATAAGAGTATCCTTTACCAAGAATAATTTCAGGAGCCATGTAATGGGGAGTACCAATTATAGTGTATGTTCTTTGACCCTTAGCTTTACTTATTTATTTTGCAGTTCCTAAATCAATTAACATCATTATCCCTTCAGAATTAACCATTATATTTTCTGGTTTTAAATCTCTATACACTATTCCATTTGAATGAAGATATTCTAAACATAAAATCATGGTTCCAATATAATATTATGTTTATTCTTTGTTTAATAAACCTATATCTCTGATTACATCAAATAATTCCATTCCTCTAATATATTAAACTAAAAAATAAACAGATATTTCATCTTTGAATGTTCTTACAAATTACATTACAAATGGAAAATTACATAATTCTAATACCATTTTCTCTTATAATACATGTCTCTCTAAACTTTATTCAACAATTGAAGCTTTAGATACACTCTTCAAAGCATAACAAGAATCAATATCTTTATGTTTAACTAGATAAACCCATCCAAATTAACCAGATCCTAATTTTTTAATAAAAACTAGATCTTCTACACGGATATGAGAAGCATCTGCTCTGTTTGCTATGTTTTTTATTTTTACTTCATGAGATTCAAATTTCTTCCTTATAGCAGTTTCAAAATCTCCTCCAAGTATTTTAAACATTTGAGTAAATGAAATACTTGCTAATACACCATCTGTAACCATTAAATAATCACTTTATAACAATTCATTTTTCTTATTTTGTGATAGATATTCATCTCCAAAACAATTTCCTTTTCCTATTTTATTATCATCACTCTATAGTGTTCCTTCAAGTACTATTACTAATTATTCACATTTAGAATCCTTCTAAAATATCACTTACCCTTTTTTATAATTTTGAATCTTGGCTTTTAATGTAATCTTTTCTTATTATAATTTTGTTAATTAATTTAAATTACTACTTTTTTCTAGACTCCATCTCATTATATTATTAAATATAATAAGCTAAACTTTATCTCCCAAAATCTTTGTTAAATTATCTCTTCCTAATGCCAAACACTTTACTTCACTCTCTGCTCTTACTGATGCTCCTCTTGTGCTTTTCTCATATAAAGCTTATTCACCAAAACTATCTTTAGGCCCCATTGTATTTATTTACTTCTTCCCTTTAAAAACACCAACTGTACCTGCCTTTATTACATAATATGAATCTGCTTAATCTCCTTCATTTACAATAGTTTCTCCAGGTTCAAATTTTGTTGTAATTAATGCATGAGCAATTGAATCTCTTTATTCAGGTGTCATAAAAGAAAAGAATGTTACTTCATTTATAAACTTTCTATTCTCATCATACTCCTTTATCATCATATCTTCTACTGCCTTTCTAAATGTTCCTCTATCCAACATCCAAAAATTACAATCAGCTAAACACTATATATATTTATATACTGATTGTTTTTATTGATGCACTTCTTGTTGCATTGTACAATAAGGCAATCTCACCAAAATAATCTCCTTCTGATATCACTTTAACTTATTTTTAATTGATTATAACTTCAGCCTATCCTTTTTGTACAATAAAATAGGAAGTAGCCTAAAATAACCTTTCTTATATACTTAATCTCCTTATTAAAATATGAACTAATCTCTTTTCTAAGTACAAAACACTAAGTTTTTAATTAGAAAATCTATTGCTTATTGAGTTAGATTAAAAAATACAAAATGACTCTTAAAACTTTTCTCTATCATTTATCTGTCGCTTTCTATTTCATTAGTTAAGGATCTTACTTTATATTGTTTTGTCTAACTTAATGATATTCTCCACTATTTGCACATTTTATTCATCTCCACCTTTAAACTTTTTCTAAGCTTTTTTTCCTTGTCTATGATAGTCTCCTTGAACATCATTTTTTTATTCCTCACCATCAGACATTTCCGATTATTAATTGCCTTAAGCTGAGTATTAAGGTTGTATTAGAAACTATAATATCAATTAATGAATTATTACTTTTGGTATTTTCTTACCCATTAAATCATCTATATCTCTTCGACTATCTGTATCTACGGTTTCATTATTGGCAGAACTTCCGCACCCCATATATTTAATAATTAATTAATATAAACTTTATAAATTTAAAAATACTATTTCTAATTGAACATACATACAATTTCTTTCTTTTTTCAATTACTTTTCTTAAAAGTAGATCTCTCATCAAAAAAGTTAAGCATGTTTGTGCTTATTTAATAAATAATATTTTCATCATTTTCTAAATATTTCAACAAGATTCTTTAATGGATTTATATTGTATTGATAATAAATGAGAACTCATTATTTAAAATGTTTCTTAATCAATATTATTAGATTTACATTAAATTTATGGTAAAATCGAATATTAATACATGAAAAATTGGATCAATTTATTATTGATGGAATTTATTATAAGAAATATCGAGTTGCTTTAGGCTTTAGTTTTGAATTATGAAGAGGTATGAGATCTACCATTAATTTACTTTTTAGAACTGAACAATCTTGACGCTTAGGTTTGAATTCAATTTTAATCTTATTTAGTTGAAATTAATGTTATTTATAGCTTTCTATTATTTTAGAAAACAAAGCGGATTTATCTGTTTCTGATGAATAAAATTATTAGGATTAGGGATTTTATTATGTTTATATTTGTGGATTCAAGAACAACATATTTGAACTCTTAAAATTAGTTTCGCTCATTGGAACATTCTATGAAATGCTTCTAAATTTTACATTTATGGAAGGCATCTTACCTAAATTAGTACTATTATTTATATTATTATTTTTTTACGGACTTGTAGGCTCATTTTGTTTAATTGATTTATATGATGGTTGAGAAGGTTTTGTAGGAGATGATTAAGTTGATAATTAATGGCTAGGAATTAATTATTACAATTTTATTTTTTACAATTTTTATTCAATTTTATTATTATACATTTCCTGATCCAAATTCATTGACCAATTTAATGATTATTTGATATGCTGATTTTATTAAAGTAATTAATTAAACATTCTATCCATATTTTAATCTCTATTTTAAAAATATAGAATTTATTCATCCTAACTTCTATAATATTAAATTATAATATACTTATCTACACTGCTAATTACATCATATAATTTAGGAAATACTTTTGAATAGTAATTATTTAATTTTTTATTATTTTTAATATTAACTTACCAATCATTTTAAATATTTTTCTTATTTGTAATTTAAACTGAATAGAATTGATTCTGTAGTTTATCTTCATCATTGTGGTTATCTTGACTGTGTATCTTAATATTGATAAAGAATTACTCTTTTAACTTCTATTTTTTAGTTCTTATTTATTATCATTTCAATTTAAAGTCTGCATTCTCCATATATAGCTTAAATCAATTAACAAATAAGGGTATTTTTGCCTTCAAAATTTTTAGTCAAACAAGTATATATTTTTGCCTAAAATTTAGATTCCTAACATCTCACTATTTATCTTTTTGCTATCATTAATTAGAAGGCTTCTGAAATTCTTGCTATGAATCTATTCACTAATCTAAATTATAAAATTATATCAATACTTTAATTCTTATTCGTTGATCGTTTAATAATGATAAAATTGATTAATCATCCGTGCTTCCTATATTGTATAATAATGATAAAGATCATTTAATTCATTTTAGGATTTTTGTTATAAGAAAGCTATAGCACATAATTCTTTAAATAAAAAGTTCAGAGTTTCTTAATTAATTTCCATTTAGTAAATTATAAAATAATAAATAATATTTATATTAATATCCTTATCATAACCTATTACATCAGGCTTTTTGATATTCTTAATCCTTAAATGAATTTATGAGAGTAAAAATTTGAGTAATTTTAAATTTGAATTAGTAAAAAAAATTAAAATTCTAATAACTAATTTTATCAATTAACAAAGATTTTAATGAACTTTTAAGATATTTAATTAATAAAAATAAATAAAAGAATTGCTTTAAATATGGAGCTTTTAAAATTAGGAAATTACAAAGTAAATTTTTATTAACAATAGAAAGACTTAAGAAAATTTAAACATTTTGTATACATGCCTCAATGGTAGATGAAGACAAAAGAATGTTTTGAAATCTAAATTATAAGATTATATTAATTTTCCATTTTTTATAAGTCTAATTTCATAAAATATCTTGAAATCAAAGAGATATTTAAAATTCAATTAATATTAATATGGCTACAAGTTCTATAAATAAATCAAAAATCAAAAACATCTTTTTTAATAAAAATTTTCAATCTAGTCATATCTTCATATTCATTTGCAATTTCTAATTGAAGAGGATGATTATTTTTATGACCAGTGCAGTATAAATTAGCATAAGAATTTATTTTTTCTCTCTTAATAATATAATTGATGGACTTAAACATTAAAATTTAAATTTATTCTTAAGGTATTTCTTAATCCTACAGAGCATCAAACCAAATAATGAATTTATTTAGATCATCCATTTTATATATACTATTTTTGTTAATTTCAAGAAATGAGCATATTATGGCTGATATTTAAAATATATTAGTTGCTAATATGAAATCCCAAAATCTGCATACATTATTGATATGAAAGTTGTATAAAAATAATGTCATTATTATTTTAGTAAGCCAAAACGCATTTGAAACTTCTAATCTATTATAAATATGATTATAAAGATTAGGGAGTTTAAATTTAATTTCTTATTAACAAATATATTCAAGTAATTTTAATAATGGCATTTCATCTGAATAAAGATAATAAATTAAAAATTTAGGATTAGTCATAATTTGTGCCAAGAATTATAGGCATTATGTGACATTTTTATTATTAATAATTAAAGTAAAACCAGCAAGAAAATTCATGCCTTAACAATATCCAAGTTTTGGGAAAAGTTTGGATAATTTTATTAATACTTTTTCAAGGTCTTTTTTTCCTTCTCCAGTTTCAAAGTATTTAATATTTTTAGCTGTAACAGTTCTGTGTGTATCTTTTTTAATTGCATATGATTATTTATAATCTTCTTCTAAAAAAGATAAATGATCAGATTGAATAGAGCTTTTTGGAATATAAGCCATCAATTACCAACAAGACCATCTAATCCTTTATTTTGGAGGACCTTCAATAAGTTTAAGTCTATATAATTTAATTAAATATTACTTAAATTCATTTTTTTTCAAAACATGGAAATTTATTATAACCATGTCTAAAAGTGAATTACAATAAGAATAGTTTTTTTGATATTCATGAAGATCTTATTAATCAATGACTGAATTTTTATGATCATCTATTTCTACATCATCATCAATTTCAGAAAAAAATTTAGTGGATGCATTACATTTAAGATCAAATTAGCTTATTAGTACACATTCATGTAAACATTCTAACCAATCATTTAATGAAGCAGTTTAAAATTATTCGTTGGAATTTATTAAGATTAATGATTATTTATCCGACTCTTCATTATTCAAATTTGTAAATTATTGAACTTAATTGACTTTCTTTTGTTTATTTTTATTCTAAGTTATCATTTAGTGTTCACTAATACACAAAGTTTAATTTCCCATTTTATAATAATAATTTTACTTTTTATACTATTTTATATAATATAATATAATATAAT